TTTTTTTTTTCGTGACCGGCAACGGATCGCAACCCTCAGTGTCGCGCCCGCACCGGACCGGGACCGGCAACGGGGTCGCAACCCTCGGTGCTGCGCCCGCCCCTCGCTCAGCCAGTGAGCGGCCAGTTCGTACGTGGGATCCGAACCCTCGGCGGGAGCGCCGCCACACTCCCAAGCGGCACACAGTAGCAGTGCGCCACCGGGCCGGCCCAATATTAAATTTCTTAGACATGATGATGGCCTTGTGGTTCTGTTGGAGAATGGTCTTGTTCTTAGGAGATATGTGATAAAGTGTCTAAATGTCTCGGTTTCTGCAAGGTTCTCACAAATGGTTCAATGAAATAAATATGCACATGCAAAGAGAGATAGCAAAGGTGGCTAAATGCTTTTAAAGGTTGCGGGGGATACCATGGGTAGAGCACTCAACTAGTGATTGTCTCAACGAGCCCTGATCCCCCAGGAAGAGCGGTGGCTTGAGGGCCTGTTGAGGAACTGGTTTATGGGCAGGAGCAGGACAAGGCTCCGACAGGGAGTGGGGAGGCTGAAGGCAGTGCAGGATAGAAAGAACGTAGGGTTTGGAGGCAAAAGACATGGGTCCGCTTACTAGGATGTGGCCTTCAGTGAGTCACTTCACCATTTTGTGCCTTGGTTCCACTATTTGTGAAAAGGGAAGAAGGGTGCCCACCTTGAATGAAAAACAGTTGAGAAACCCCTGGCTAAACTGGAGCCTGTTATCGCGTGTGGACACATCTGTCATTGTTCAGAACCAGCTGATCTTGACCCAGGAACACTGGGCAGAAGGAACATGTCAGGACAGTGATGCAGGATGCAGGCACCCTCAGGGCTGGACTGGGGACCTACCTCTGCCTCTGTATTAGTCCATTTTTTTCTGTTGCTTACAGCAGAATACCTGAAACTGTGGATGCATCTACTGAAGGCCTTCTTCTGTGTGGGGACTCTCTACAGGGGTCCCGTGGTGACAGAGGCAATCACATGGTGAAGATGGCAAGTCTTTAATGTGCTCTCCTTATAAAGCAACAAGTGCCTCTCCTGTGACAACCCACTAAACCATTACCCCATTACTCCATGTGTGGGCTAATCCATTCACGAGGGCATAGTCATCACGATCCAACCACCTCTTAAAGGCCCCACCTTTCAACACTGGTGTAGTCTGAGTTCCCACCCTCTTTACACGGTTACAATGGGGATCAAGCTTAATGAGTTTGGGGGGAAACATTCAATCCATAACACCTCCCTCCCTGGGGACCCCAGCAGGGCAGAAGAGCTGGGGCAGGAAAGAACTGAGGGGCAGACAAGCACTCTCTGCTGCCCTTTGCTCAGAAAGGGGCCTCGTCCCCCATCAGACCCCAGGAGCAGCGGCTTCTCAAAGCATGTGAGGAAGGCAGTGTGGCCAGAGAGACTACGGGGCTGACGCAGCCGTGCTCTCATTTTTGCTCTCATTTTTCTGTAAGTCCCTGAAGGCTCCTGCTTTGCCTTATCCTGCCCCCACCCCCCATGCCCACATTGCTGGCCAGAAGATGAGGGCTCTAGAAATACTTAACTCCAGGAGGGAACCAGGACTTGGTGTGCAACCTTCCATCCCCTAGGCCTCAGTTTACCCGGAATCCATAAAATGGGGCAACCCATCCCTGCCTTCTCTATACCTGAGGAGAGGTAGCAGCATGGAGAGGATGGCAGATCTGCATTCAAATCCTGCCACCACTGCCTGCTGGCGGCACTTAGGGGTCTTCCCATCTCAACTGCCATTTCCTTAACCACTGCGGGTGGCCGTCTGCAGTGTGCAGGGTTATGGCAATAAGTGAAGGTGAAATAAATACAAATAGCTGGCATGTAGTTTATTGATTTATTGTCAGTCTCCCCCAGTAGGATGTCAGCCCCACGAGACACAGACTTGGTCCTGTTCACTGCTGTACCCCAGCACCCAGGAAGGTCCCTAGGGCTCAGTAGGAGTTCCCTAAGTAATGGTTGGTTGAATGAATGGACCTAACAGGTGCTCAGTAAATGATACCTCCCACTGTAGTTCTAAAGTGTGCTGAGACAAAAAGCATTTGGAGTTCATGGTTATTGAGAAAGGAAACTTTGGAAAATAAGAAATAATCTCCAGGGTGGGCATGGGTCTGTCTGTCAGCCTGTCAATGGAGGATGCCAGGGAAGCTGGGCTTTTCTAGACCAGGGGATGGACGCTATGTGCCCATGAGAGCCAGACAGGAACATCTGTGGGTGAGTAGGTTTGGGGCAGGGGGCTCTTGATAACCTGGGAGCCCCCATGCGCCCTGTCTGATAGGGCTCCCTCGCCCTAGCTAACTGTGGCCCGGCAGGAATGCAGGCCCAGTGTGCCACTGCAGCTGGTTTTACAAGAGGAGCCAGAAATCCAGTGGAAAACAATTCATTTTTAAAAGAAAAACACAAATGAGAGCAAATAAAACTCATCTGTGTGTTGGGAGGGGCCCAGTGGTGTAGCCAAGCCTTTCGGGGCAACGTGGGAAGAAGGACCTTATGGAGGTCACTTTCTCATCTCTCCAGGCCTCTAGGCAGTCCCAGTACTTGAGACATGGGCCTCCGCCTAGGGGAAACGCTGACATGCTGTCCAGATCCAAAAGGCCGGGTCACTCCCAGCCAGGGAAGAGGCCACTACCCTGAGTTCTTGGGCTCGAGGTGGTATCCAGGCTTTGGGCTCCCAGGCTCAGGGTAAATCAGCCCCCATAGTACCTGGTCCATATGGGTGTTCAGTAAATATTCATTGAACAAACCCCCTTCGGTGTGACTTTGAGCTCGGCCCTCCATCTCCGGGCCTCATCTGTAAAATGGGCACAGCAATGTAGCCCCGCCGACCTCACAGGAATCATGGGGAAATCAAGTGAAATTAAAGGGATAAAAATATTTCTGAACATCAAAAGTGCTTTACAAATGCCAAGTGCAGTCATTTTTGTTGTCATTATTATTATGAGCAAGACACGTTTGCCAGAGTAGAAGAAGGGGGCCTGGGACCCAGAAGGGCAGAGAATCTACAAAGACTTCACAAGGAGGACCCGGATCATGCCCATCAGGGCTCACCACAGGGAAGACGCATGCTCACCAGCTCCAGGAAGACCCGGTCGCAGGACACAGGAACCTACACGACCTCCTCCCCAGCCACCTGGCATTCAGCTCAGGCCAGGCTGCATCTCCCCAGACAGAGGGCTTCCAGGGGAACACACAAACCCCGCCTGTGCTGCCCATGAAATAGAGAAACTATATAAATAACATAAATACTTTGTCATATATCTTAGCTATATAAATTATTCTCTCTGGTCCTAAAAACTATGTCTGTGAGGTAGACAAAAATACCCTGTGAGCATTGTCCTTAAAGCTGTGGAATGAGGAGTCAGAGGTCACTCTGGATCCCAGGGGTCCCAGCAGGGCCGAGGTGGATCTTTAGGGGTGACTGGAAGAGAAAGGAGTGGCAACAGGGAAGGAGAAGGGAGAGGGAGGACGGGACACAGGGGACACCACAAGCCGAGGGGCCCTCAGAGCCTGCACCCATGCCAGTGACCTGGGGCATCCGTGTTAGTTAGCAGCCAGCCCTGGCCTAAGTCCCTCAGAGTCTGCCCTTTACCCTCCTGCTACCCTGGCACGGCCGGCCATGGAGTTGGGATGCAGGTGGTGTGCTGTTGAGTCAGGGTGCCCACGTTGCTCCCGAGGCCCCTCTGCTGCCTTAAGGCATGCCAGGCTGGAGGCAGAGTTGGGGTCTCAGAGGAGCAGGATGGACTGGACCGGCAGAGAAAAAGTCTCCTCATGGTGGGGGAGTGGAAGAAACTAGAAAACCAACCCTCTACCCTTTTCTCTCCTCCTTCCAAGACGTGAAAGCTGCTTAGGTGAGCAAAGTTAGTCTGGTGAAGGCCTCAGGTCAGTTTGGCTTCTCATGGCAGCCTCTACAATCAAAGATCCTTCCAGTATCCCCATGCTTCCCTGATCCATGGGGACAGCAGAGCTCCTCCTCACCCCTGGAGATCTTCGGGTGTCTGCTGGGGCCCAGCCACGGGGGTTCTTCCTGGAGCTGGCATCGACGTGGGTTCTGAGCACTCAGCTGATTCTGAAGTTTCCTGTTTCAGTGGAGGGTCAGCAACTCTGGGTTCAGGGAGAAAGGAAGCTGACAGAGGGGCGTGGCAGGGCCGGCAGAGCAGCCAAGGGCTTCCCGATTGAGGTCACCTCCTCCTGGCTGGCATCGGGCCCTGCTCTGGGGAAGCACACAGCCTCCAGCAAAGTGACCCCTGCAAGGCCTTCATTCTGAACTGGAGAGGTGTCGCTGCTCAATGGGACCCTCAGCCTGGGCCAAACGGTATATGCGTCTATTTGTATCCATGCAGATAAACCTGTTCCTTGCTCCTCTTCCCACTCAGAGCCTTGGGAGGTGGCACTGGAAATGTCCACAGGATCCAAGGAAATTAGCAAAGTCGCTTCTGTTCCTCATGTAAGAGCCAAAGTGAGGGCAAAGTGAAGGGCCATTAGTAAATGAAGGGGCCACCGAGGCGCCAGGCTTAGGAAAGACTCAAGCACTTGTACCTCAAGCCAGGACAAAAGCCTTAATCAGATCAACAGCCACAAGAGCAGAAATGTAACCAGATCATAACGCATAAACCAATTGTTCTTCTGCATCACTAGTGTCAGCTGGTGTGGGGGCCTCACAGCCCGGGTAGACCCCAGCCACAGGGAGTTTACCAAAGCAGACTCAAGAGCAGGCTGAGAAACTGGGCTTGCCATGTCCCTGCCAGGCTCCAGGAGGCTGTCACCCTTCTCTTCTAGGCTGGGATTAAAGGTTCCTTTGGCTACCAGGGAAAATGGAGAGGGGCCCCTGTGTCTGCGCACCCTCAGGTGCACTGAGTCCCACCTTGGGGACTGGCTTTCCCTCCTGTCTTGCCTCGGTTGGTGGCCTTGTTGAACAGGGCTGGGTGAGTGTGGATTACTCAGCTCACCAGACAAGAAAGAGGCCACAGTATAGACAGATTTGAAAAACTGAATCAAGGACATAGGGCTCTAGGGCATCTACTTGACTTGGGCTCACTGAAGCCCAGCTCCTTATCACCTGGGCTTTCTCCCCATCTCTAGCACAGCAAAGCCACAGGAGTACCAAAGGTGGATGGTCCCCAGGGGCTCACTCAGTCTGAGCAGGGCCAGAGGGCTGGACTGACCCTTCCTGGGCAGACTCCCACCTTTGCCTCCAGCTGGCACTGCCTCCCTTCACAGTCTCGGCCCAGAACCTCACCACCCAATAGCTTGCTGGCTCTCGGCCATCAGCCCAGCAATCAAGATGGTGGGATAGCCCCTTTCTTCCCTCCAAAACCTCAGTCCTGCTGTCCTCCTGGTCACCCTTATTTCCTTCCACATCCTTTTCTACTCTACCATCCTGTTCCAAGTTCTCAACAAGGTTGGGGACCCTTGGGTTCACGGGTGGGGCTTTGCTTCTCATTGCTGAGTGTTGAGGAAGGCAAAAGCCTGGCCGAGGTACGGTGGAAGGAGAAGTGGTGAGCTGCACGCTCATGTGCATTGACATGTACATCTGTGTGTGCACACACACTGTGTGTACCTGCCCAGAGGGGCCAGCTGGACAGCTGGACAGGCACTGCGGGAGGTCCTGGCAGTGCCTGGCTGCTCCTGGGCAGCAGGCCTAGTGCTTGCAGGTGTACACAAGCTCCTCCTGCACGCACTGCTGACACTCCACGTAGCAGCACCACTGCACCTGGCAGTGGCAGGAGAAGGCCACCAGGCGGCTCTGGGTGTCATAGCCCCGCCCGCAGCACAGGCTGCTGCAGCTGGCCTCCCGGGAGCACACCCGGCCCGCTGTGCCAGGTGAGTACTTGCTGGGCCGGCAAAAGCTGGGTGAGTCCTCCATGTAGACCAGGTCCCCAGGCCGGGGCGCCAGGCTCTTGGCAGGGCTGCCCGGCCTAGCAGGTGCCCACAGCTCCAGGCGACCCAAGGCTTCATTGGTGGCACTGGACACTTTGACAGCTGAGTCATAGCGCAGCTTCAGCACCTGGCCCGTCTCACGGAATGGGGAGAGCTGTTTCCAGCAGGTGCGCACGGCACAGGAACCTGACACTCCATGGCACTTGCACGTGGTCCTGAGGCCACTCTTCACAGCCTGTGAGAAGAGGCAGTATGGTCAGAGAGGCAGTATGCAGCCTGAGCCTGCCCCCAGAGCACCAATCTTGGCAGGCCAGTGACCCGTCTCACGGAATGGGGAGAGCTGTTTCCAGCAGGTGCGCACGGCACAGGAACCTGACACGCCATGGCACTTGCACGTGGTCCTGAGGCCACTCTTCACAGCCTGTGAGGAGAGGCAGTATGGTCAGAGAGGCAGTATGCAGCCTGAGCCTGCCCCCAGAGCACCAATCTTGGCAGGCCAGTGGTCTGCACATTTGCTTTTCTATGATATGTTATATAAGGACCTTTTATATATGTTATATAAGGACCTTTTATATATGCTATATAAGGACGTTTTAGTCAAAATTACTGGGATCTGCACATTTGCTTTTCTATGATATGTTATATAAGGACCTTTTATATATGTTATATAAGGATGTTTTAGTCAAAATTACTGGGGAATAGTCACAAATCTTGCCTCCTTTAAAACATTTTTGCTCTGTTTATCAAGTTTCCACTTTACCAAGGCTTCCTTGTCCATCACAGCTACATAAAGCATTCTGGCTCATTTTCTATATCTATTGAGTACAGTAGGACAGTAGATTTTTCAGTGACTGTGCCTGTACAAATCTCTCAGAGCCACTCGGCACATCAGCAGTGGTTATTATGCATGGTGCTTGGAATATATCCCACCCAGCATGGCTGCTATAGCAGGCTCTCAGCACCCACTCCAACTGTCTCTAGCAGCCCCCCCAAGCCCCTGAGACAATCAGAGCATTGTGCAGAACAATCCCAGAGCTGTTCAAAGAACATAGCCCAGGGCCCAAGGGTTGCTGTTTATTTGTGGCACTAGATCAAGAATGATATGGCAGTAGCTTATGGATGTGCATAGGAAAGACTTGTACCAACAGCACCCGAGGCTCTGGCCCTTTCTCACAGCCTTTTACTGTCACTGAAAACAATGCCATATGTATTTGAAGAGTGTAGATGTGTTCTGGGAAAACATGCATTAGGAATGCACCCAGGCTCACAGTGGCCTCTGGGCTTGTTGGCACATCCCTTAGTATTCCCCTGTTTCAAGGACACATCACTGCACATGCAAGGGAAGGTCAAGGTTGTGCATGCCTTGTTAGGTGCCTATTGAGCTTACTGGTCAGAGCGGGAAGGGGGCGTCAGGGGAGAATACAAAGAAGCAAAGGTGGCTGTGAAAGAACCAAATGCTTCTTATCTCCAAAAAGTGTCCCCTAACTCCATCCAAATTGAGTTGGAATGAAGATTCTTCCCAGTTCTGATGGTACTTCAATTATACATGTGATCAAATTAAAATAAATCGTATTTAAGTGATGAGGTGCAAAAAGATCCAAATTCAGAATATCCAGAACCTCATAAAGATGGAAAAATACTAGTGACAAGGAAGATTGGCTAAGGAAAGGGCCAACAGTAAATGAAATCATAATCTTTTTCTAGGCCTGTGGTTTTGACTTAAACACAGATAGATAAAGCAGGATTGCAAACAAGATTTAGAAAGAACTTGCAACAAAGTTTTCTCACTTACTTTTCTTTTTAGCACTAAGTTTATTTGAAGCATGGAAGAAAATTTATTTTGAACATAGCAACTTGTGTTAGCACAATGTTTTTATTGACTATTATTCCAAGCTATGGCTTTTATATTTTCCTGTTCTCTTCGATTGATATTTAATGAGTACATCTTAAAGAACATTTTTGCTATTTTATAGCTCTAACAAACGAAAATTTGTAAAACTGTACACTATGGCTTTTATATTTTCCTGTTCTCTTCGATTGATATTTAATGAGTACATCTTAAAGAACGTTTTTGCTATTTTATAGCTCTAACAAACGAAAATTTGTAAAACTGTACGATATAGCCCTCCCAACATAGTTCTATCAGTTATACGCCAATAAATAACAATGATTTCAAGGATGATTAATCATAATCATTATAAAGCACTCTGGCCAAGTCAACATCTGTTTCCATGGATACGGTAGCCAGCCATCACGGTTTTGTAATTTATGTTTTAGTTATTGTTCCCAGATGACTATGAGGTCCATTCTATACAACATGACCTTTTCACTTTAGGCCCAAGTGGACTCGATGGTTTACATGCGGCCTGGCCTCTTTTCAAGAAGTTTTTATTGAAAATTTGTGGAGACCTGAGAAAATGAAGCAGAATTTCAAAGGTCTTCCTGTCATTGCTTCCTTGAAGAGGTGAAGTGAAGTACAGCAGTGACAATGTCAATAACAAGCAACTAGTAGTACTGACCATACTGTTAGCAAATCAGAGATCTAAAAACTCACAAGGCATGAGAGAAGCGGAGGAGCAGGGGAGTGGAACGGCTAGCTCCGGGTCACACTGAACCTGAGTGGAAAGCTGGTGCACACCCAGGTCTTCTGGCTTTCAGGCCGGGGCTCATCTCTTTTTCAACTATTTTAGACAAATATATTTTATTCAGTTCTTCACTGAATGAATGTTTATTGAATCATACTATGTGTCAAGTTCTCAGCTTGGTATTGGCAAGCTAATGACAAATCAGCAGGAAGTCAAAATCTATCCCAGTTCCTGCCCATGTGGCTCAGAAAGAGGCTAGTGGGTGAGGCTCACATTAAGTGCATAATTACACGGGCCATTGGACAGTTAAGCTGTGCCAAGTGTTGAGTAGGTGAGGGCCTGTCTTTGGACATTAGGCCTAGTTCCAGAGAGAAGATAGATTTCTCTGGTTTAGTGTCACCTGACCTGGGATCTGAAGAAGGAATTAACTATGGGAAATTCAGAAAAAATAGCATGTCAGGTACCAGCATGTGCAAATGCCCCATGGAAAGAGGAAGCAAGGTTAGTACTAACACTAAAAGAAGGTGTGACAGGAGTATAGCAATCTGAGACAAGAGGATCTGGGGTTGGATTATGCAGGACCTGTGTGGCCCACTGTAAAAATTCTGTCTCTATTCTAGTTACAATAAGGACTCACCTGCAGTAGCCTTGCTTGACTGGGTTGTGTCAGAATCACAAGCAGTAGGTGGGAACTAGTGGTTGGAGTCTTTCTCTACCTTGGATGGTAGAAACACACTTTGGTCCTGTGAACCTTTACCCATCTTCTATAATTTTTTCCACTCATTTCTGCTCCGAAAGCTAGATGCTGAGAATGGCAGAAAAGCCCTGAGGTTTTCATTGGCTTTTCTGATTTTATATGTTGCAGGACCAGCTCTCCAGGATTCTAGTCTCCTCCCTGCAGAGCAAGGAAGCCATGCACTGTTCTATTGTCATGGAGCTGACAGAATAGGAATAGTGTAGGCCTTTCTCTTTCTATATATAGGATTCAAAATATTTCTCTTACATACTGGAAGTATTAGAAACCACATAAGAAGTGCACCTACCTGCATTATTTTTCTATACTGTGTACCGAATTATCATATGCTCAGCAGCACAAAAAAACACACATTGATTATCTCACAGCTTCTCTGGGTCAGGAGTCTGCACATGGCTTAGCTGGGTCCTCCACAAGCCAGGGCTTCATTCTCATCTAGAAGCTCAACTGGGGAAAGCCCCTCTTCCAAGCTCATTCAAGTTGTTGATGTAATTCACTTTCTTGTGGCTTTAAGACTTACAGCAACTTGCTTCTCCAAAGCTAGCAATGAAAGCAAAAGCCTAGAGAAAGTTGGCTAGAAAGATGGAGTCTTATATAATGTCATGTAATCATAGGAGTGACATCCCATCACCTTTGCCATATTTTATTGGACACAGGTCCTTCCCACAGTGAAAGACTACAAGGCTGTGAATATCCAGAAGCAGGGATTATGGAACCAGTCTGTCTGCCACAATGTCCACGCCCAAGCTGCACAGATACATCCACAAGAAATGCCTATGCAAAGCCTGCGTGATTTTTGTGCTCCCTGACTCATGCTGCCAGAAACTACTGCACCTAAGAGGAGTGTGAAAGCTCAGTAGCAAGAGAAACTCCTCAGGTGCAGTGCATTCCCCAGGTCTACATCTTCTACCTCACCTTCAGACTTCACATGCTATTCTTCTCACCTCCCACCTCTCCTATGAGCAGCCTTGAATTTTTGTTCCAGCTGAACACTGCATCCCTTAATAGATAAAGCTACAATTTGCCCTGGTTCCTCTCTTCTGAGGCAGATGGGCTTGATCCATTTACTTTTCTTTGAGCACCACCTGTGTAGCACCTCCCATTGTGGTCACTGGGTGGTCACCTGTCCTTTCCTGGCCAACCAGGCAAATTCTTGTCCTCACTCTGTCAGTGTGAGTAGCACTACTACTTTAGTGTCTGTTACAAGCAGGTGGGGGGAGAAAAACCAGTCCATGTCATGCAGCAGTATAATTTGTCCTTTCCAGAATGTCATACAAATGAAACCAAACAGTAGGAATCCTGTGAGTCTGGCTTTTTCCCCCACTTAGCACAATGTCCTTGTGATTTATCCAAGTTGTTATCCATGTCAATTATTTGTTTCTTTTAATTGCTAAGTAATATTCCACTTTGTGAGTGCACCACACTTTTTTTCTCCATTAAGCAGTTGGGATGTTTCCAATTTGAGGTAATTATCAATAAAGCTGCATACAAGTTTACATACTGATTTTTGTGTAGACATGTGTTTATTTCTTTTGGATAAATAGTTGAGGGATGATTATTACCAAAGTGATCTTCTGAAGGTCAAGTAATGCACTACCACATACCAGAAATACTCATGACATATTGAAGAGGTGGCATTTTGAAGTGTGCAATGAGATGTCTAGAATCCCTGAGTGATGTTTGGCACATGACTTTCCAAATAGTCTAGCTATTGCCTTATGATTCTTTAATATGTGCTGCTTGGAAAAGGCAACCCATAGTGTCCCTTGGACTACATTAATTTCCCCCTCTTTCCCTGTGGCAGAATTAGACCAAGGGGTAGACTGAATTGCTCATGGTTTGATCCTTGACTAGACAGATTAAGTTCATGGCCATATTCCTTTTTCTAGGCTGTTCTCCATAGACTTGTTGATTTATTGCTGCACTGTCTCTGGTGCTGAACCCTCTGGTATGGTACACACCATCTTCTACTGTTTTTCAGTGAAGGCTCCTCACTGAAGATGCTGACCCTTTCTAGGAAAGACTTCCACTAGCTGCTATTGTCTCATTCTGTTTCTATTATGGACTGAAATTCTTCCATTACAATCATTGATATACTAGAACTCTACCATGTCTCTCCATGCCTTTGCTTCATCAGTGCAAATAACATGCAGTTTTTTGAATATGCCGTATTCTCTCCTGGTTCCATGACTTTGCCTGTGCAATCCCCTCTCCTGTGCTTTTGGGATTTTTTTTTTTTCAACTGGTGGACTCTCCTCTTCCTTTGATGTTTTTGCTTTCATATGATGTTCTGAACATATTGCTTGAGTGATTCATCACAGAAATTTACACATGTTGTAAGTATATTTTCATGGGTTTTCTCTGCCCATGTCTCTTCCACGGTGGAATCTGTGTCTGTCTTTGTTCTTTGTGTCTTTGTGTCTGGAGGGCCTCGCCTAG